GACGGCCCATGTGGTTTCTTCTAATTCTGTTATTCTATTTTTATAAGATTAGGGGCCATCATTACAGCTACCTATACATCCCAATTCATAAATTGTGGGAACTAAAAAAAGTTAGGAAAATAGGCGCATTTCAATTGGGTATTCCTGTCTGGCAAAATAGGGTTGGTCTGGATGGCCTTTGTGGTCTCGTCTAACTCTGTGATTCCATTATTCTGTGTAAAAACCCTAACAGAGGATCTTTGAGACATCGGCATCTCTACTTTGGCCAACTCTGAAAGAGGAAGAGACAAGAGTAAAATACTTCTGGTTTGTCTTATAAACCATACAAACTCTACGATGGCACAATCTATTATGCAACAAGAGACAATACCAAAAAGATAAGGCATTTTTTTGGTGGTGCAGTGGGTTAAACCAGTGAGCTGTTGAATTTGCTGAGCAGGGTGAGCTCCCACTGTTAGCCCCAGCTTCTGCCAACCTAGCAGTTTGAAAACATGCAAGTGTAAGTAGATCAATAAGTACCGCTTTGGCGGGAAGTTAACGACTCTCCATGCAGTCATGCCGACCACATGATCTTGGAGGCATCTATGGACAACGCCGACTCTTTGGCTTAGCAATGGAGATGAGAGGCAGACATGACTAGACTTCATGTCAGGGGAAACCTTTACCTTTACCTTAAGGCATTCAAGACATTACTGTGGTACTGGGTTGCTGTGAAACCTCACAGCAACCCAGGGCTGTATGGCCATGTTCTAGCAGCATTCTCTCTGAATGTTTCGCCGGCATCGGTGGCTGGCATCTTCAGAGGTTCTGTCGGCAGTGAGGCAAGCGGAGTGTATGTTGTTGTTGTTGTTCATTCGTTCAGTCGTCTCCGACTCTTCGTGACCTCATGGACCAGCCCACGCCAGAGCTCCCTGTCGGCCGTTACCACCCCCAGCTCCCTCAAGGTCAGTCCAGTCACTTCAAGGATGCCATCCATCCATCTTGCCCTTGGTCAGCCCCTCTTCCTTTTGCCTTCCACTTTCCCCAGCATAATTGTCTTCTCTAGGCTTTCCTGTCTCCTCATGATGTGGCCAAAGTACTTCAACTTTGTCTCTAGTATCTTTCCCTCCAGTGAGCAGTCGGGCTTTATTTCCTGGAGGATGGACTGGTTGGATCTTCTCGCAGTCCAAGGCACTCTCAGAACTTTCCTCCGACACCACAGCTCAAAAGCATCGATCTTCCTTCGCTCAGCCTTCCCTAAGGTCCAGCTCTCACATCCGTAGTTTACTTAAGGGAATACCATGGCTTTGACTAGGCGGATCTTTGTTGCCAGTCTGATGTCTCTACTCTTCACTATTTTATCGAGACTGGACATTGCTCTCCTCCCAAGAAGTAAGCGTCTTCTGATTTCCTGGAGTGTATGTATACCTATGGAATGTCCAGGGTGGGAGGATGTTGCAATTAGCAAGCTTGAATTAACATTTGAGTAGCCATGAAACTGCAAAGTCAGTGAAGGTATCTTCATAGAGGTCGCCTGGCTGTTGTTCCCTGGAGGCATCCTCTGTTTGTGAGATTTTAACTGGCACTTGATTGTTTGCTGTCTGGAGTTCTCCTGTTTCTGAGTGCCAGTTAACACCGCTCAAACAGAGGATGCCTTCAGGCAACAGAGGGCAGGCTACCCGCTATGCAGATACTCTCACTGATTGACTTTGCAGTTTCATGGCTACTCAATGCTATTCAAGCTTGGTTGTTGTAGGTTTTTCGGGCTATATGGCCATGTTCTAGAAGCATTCTCTCCTGACGTTTCGCCTGCATCTATAGCAAGCATCCTCAGAGGTACTCACTACCTCTGAGGATGCTTGCCATAGATGCAGGCGAAATGTCAGGAGAGAATGCCTCTAGAACATGGCCATATAACCTGAAAAAACTTTCTTTCCAGTGATTCCGGCCATGAAAGCCTTCGACAATACTATTCAAGCTTGCTAATTTGCAACATTCACACTTGCTTTAAACAGGCAAGGGTTCTTTCTCCCATCCTGGGCATTCCACAGGCATATATACATTCCACTTGCCACATTGCGAACAGAACCTCTGAAGATGCCGGCCACAGATGCAGGTTTTTTTTTTTTTGTCGTGTCAGGAGCAACCGCTCCTGTTGTGAGAGAATTGGCCGTCTGCAAGGACGTTGCCCAGGGGATGCCTGGATGATTTTTGATGTTTTATCATCCTTGTGGGAGGCTTCTCTCATGTCCCCGCATGAGGAGCTGGAGCTAATAGAGGAAGCTCATCCGCCTCTCCCTGGATTCGAACCTGCGAGCTGTCGGTCTTCAGTCCTGCCGGCACAGTGCTTTAACCCACTGCGCCACCGGGTGAAACGTCAGGAGAAAATGCTGCTGGAACATGGCCATACAGCCCCAAAACCTCAGAGCAATTCAGTGATTCTGGCCGTGAAAGCCTTCGACAATACAGTGGTACTTGTCATGCATCTGCACTGTAGAATTAATCCAGTATGGCACCACTTTAATTGCCATGACCCAATGCTTGTGGAATCCTGGGAGTTGTAGTTCTAGAAGGACTTTAACCTTATCTGGCCAAAAGTGCGGGTGTCTTAGCAAACTACAAATCCTGGGGCTCCATAGTATGGAAGCATAGCAGCTAAGCTGGTGTCAAACTGCATTAATTATTCAGTGTCAGGATGCACCCTAGATGAGAAACTACTCAGTTTGCTGAAAATGAAACTAAATTGAATTAAGCAGGGAGGGAATAAGAGGAGGGGAGAACAAGAAGGGTGTTTTAGAAGCTGTTGGAAAAGTGGGACAACAGGGGATTAATTGGGACTGTCATTGCCAAATCAGGACAGTTGGAAGGTATGAGGATTTGGCTCACAGGGAGATCATTATTTTAAACAGCGCCCCTTCCCCTCTTTGCAGCACTCTGCCGATTGTCCTTGTATTCAGGCAGAAGATGGGATGGGGCTGAAAGCTTGGTATGACATGAATGCCTTGATGGGCAAATAAAGCTCCAGGGGTAAGAACTGGGATGGAAAAATTGTTTGACTGGGAAGCAGTGGAGCAATGATCAGGAATGGAGAGGAATTGGAGAACCCTAGATTTGGAAGAGACCCCAAAGGCCATCCAATCCAAGCCCTTTCTGCCATTCAAGAAAACACCATCAAAGCACACCTGACAGATGGCCATCCACTCTCTGTTTTAAAACCTCCAGAAAAAAGAGACTCCACCATACTCCCAGGGAACAGCATAGTCCACTGCTAAAAAGCATTGAATACTGTCTATATTTAATTCTGTTGTAATGTTTGTGTGACGGTGCGAGTGGTGCCACCTGCGTGTAGAACTTTAAAGTGCAAAGGTTTAAACTGTATAACATGCCCAAACTTGCCTAGTTTGTAAATGTATAGTTGGATTGATTGGTTATTTATAGCTGTCAATCAATGTTGTTTGCACCAGTTATATTCTTCCTCAGCTCAATTGCTTGGCTCCACCTGGAGGAGGGCAGAGCTTTTCCTTTTCCCTTCTACCATCAAACTTTCTATCAGATAGACGTGAGAAAGAGACTTGGCTCTAAAGCCCTTAATTAAGTTTCCTCTCATCACCAATTCTAAGGTTTTTACCCTTGGGACTCATACTTCATGCCCAGATCGCCCTGGACAACGTTGAGGAGACCCAAGCGCCTTCAAACCGGTTTTTTGGCATCAGAGGAAGGCTTCATGTCTTCAAATATAGGCCATTTGGATTGGGGTGTGAATGTGCAGGCATTTGCAGCCATTGAGAAAGAGGGAACCTTGAAAAGTTTCTCAGCTGCAAAATTCCTTGGACCCAAGACAACCAGAGACTGTAATGTATATTTCCTTTACCCCTTTGAAACTTCCAGCTTATTGTCTTAAAGGGATAACTCTTTGTGAACAATAAAACCTATTTTGAGTTATCTACAGTGTTTTGGTCCTTGGGAGTTCCAGTTCTTTAAAGGAAGGCAAGAAGCAATCCCCTGGGGAAAAGATGTCACGTCTATGTCTCTTTCACTAAGAGTTATAGCCCCCAGGCGTGACGGCATAGTTTGTATATTTGTAAACAAGCTTAGAGAAACTTAGAGAAGACAATGATGCTGGGGAAAGTGGAAGGCAAAAGGAAGAGGGGCCGACCAAGGGCAAGATGGATGGATGGCATCCTTGAAGTGACTGGCTTGACCTTGAAGGAGCTGGGGGTGGTGACTGCCGACAGGGAGCTCTGGCGTGGACTGGTCCATGAAGTCACGAAGAGTCGGAAGCGACTGAACAAATGAACAACAATATTTGTATATTTTTAATTGTGTACTAATGTATTGTCTAAGGCTTTCATGACTGGAATCACTAGGTTCTTATGGGTTTTTTTGGGCTATATGGCCATGTTCTAGAGGCATTTTCTCCTGACGTTTCGCCTGCATCTATGGCAAGCATCCTCAGAGGTAGTGAGGTTTGTTGGAATTAGCAAAATGGGTTTATATATCTGTGGAATGACTGGGGTGGGACAAAGAGCTCTTCTCTGCTAGAGCTGGGTGTGAATGTTTCAACTGACCACCTTCATTAGCATTTGAAGGCCTGGCTGAGCCTGGGGGAATCTTTTGTTGAGAGGTGTTGAGATGTGCCTGGTTGTTTCCTCTCTGCTGTTTTTGCTGTTGTAATTTTAGAGTTTTAAAAGATAAAGAAGGGTATAAATAAATATATCGGGGATGCTTTGAATGCAATTTTCCAGCTTCTTGGCAGGGGGTTGGACTGGATGGCCTCCAAGGCCTCTTCCAACTCTAGGATTCTATCCGCACTGTAGGATTAATACAGTTTGATATGTATTAATTAACAAATACAGTAAATAATAAATGAATAAATATGGGGCAATGGGAATTGTAGTTTTGCAAGGTCTTCTCTGCTCTGGAGCCTCCCAAGACTACAGCTCCCAAGATTCCATAGCATTGTGCAAATAGCAATTTAAAACGGTATCAAAGTGCGTTAATGCTACAGTGTAGAGAGAGTTGCACTCTCAATAGAACTCTGCCACTCTGCTGCAGAACTGAGCTGGCTGTGTGACGTCACGGGCCCGGGCTGGTTTCAGTCACGTGGCGGGTTGGAGGCCAAGCTGCCTGAATGCACGAGAGAAGTCAGAGGAGAGCTGTGCAACCTTAAAAGGGGCTCTCCCGGAAACAGCAGCCCCAGCCCAGGGTTAAGGGTGGGAGGATCTTCTTGAAGGTAAGAGGAGCTGTTTAACAGTGGGATATGCTGCTGTCTGGGAGCCTGGTGGGGTATCCTTCTCTGGGGGGTTTTAAACAGAGGCTGGATGGCCATCTGTCGGGAAGGTTTTGATTGTGTTTTCCTTGAGATTTTGCATTTCCTTCCTTTTGCCTCCCTCCAGCATTTCACAGATGAATAGGACACAGTTTGGGCAAACAATGGGTACAAAAGAGTAGAAATAACAAATAAGGAAGGCTGCAGCAGTCTGATTTTTGCCTGAGTCTAATGGCATGCTGCCCTTGAGTCTTTGGATTGTGACTAAGGGTGCATTTACACTGTAGAATTAATGCAGTTTTACACCACTTTAATTGCCATCACTCAATTCTATGGAATTATGGGAGTTGTAGTTTGTTGAGGCATCGGCCGTCTTTGACAGATAAGACTGAAGACCTTGCAAAACGACAATTCCCATGAATCCATAGCATTGAGCCAGTGTAGTTGAAGTGGTGCCAAAACTGCATAGTTTGCATCAACACAGATGCAAACTATGACTAAGGAGGACGCATGTACACCATAGAATTAATGCCGCTTTATGCTACTTTATTATTTGTTTATTTATTTACAGTATTTATATTCCACCCTTCTCACCCCGCAGAGGACTCATGATGGATCACAATGCACATATACATTGCAAACCTTCAATGCCATAAACACACAACATAAATAGACTCCCAGAGGCTATTCTTTCCAGCTTCATGAGGGTATGCTTTGAATTCCAGCCACCGGGGGAGCTGTTGCTTCACTGTCCATTTGTGACACTGATGGAGTACTTCCTCATTCTTTTGCACGCTGCCAGAAAGTTTTATGGCATCATAAATTAGTTAAATTAGCCTCCCCGCATAAGCGGTACCTAAATTTCCTACTTGACAGATGCAACTGCCTTTCAGGCTGCAAAAGTCGACAGCAAGCTAGACAAATGGTCGGGAGCTTACTCCGATCTGGGCTGGCTTTGAACTCATGACCTTTTGGTCAGTAGTGATTTTAATGTAGCTGAATCCCAACCAGCTGCGCCACAACCTGGTCCAATTAGTTGCCATGGCTCATTGCTATGGAATCATGGGAGTTGTAGTTTGTGGAGGCATCAGGAGTCTTTGACAGGTAAAAGACCTTCCAAAACTCCAGTCCTCACAAATCCATAGCATTGAGACAGTGGTGCCAAAACTTCATTCATTCAACACTGTAGATGCACCCAATGACCAAGGGTGCATCTACATTATAGAATTAATGCAGTTTTATGCCGGTTAAACTGTCATCTATCAGTGTCATGTCATTTTCAATATTTTTAGCTTTTTCTGCCAAAGAGGGCAGGCGCCGTACCAAACTACAACACTCCCTTCATTCCATAACATTGAGTCACAGCAGTTAAAGTGGAGGTAAAACCGCATTAATTTCACATTGAGGATGCATTTCCTGCTCAACCATGGGGGGCTTTGGGTGAGTCACACACTCTCAGCCCCAGAAGCCCCTGTGATAGCTTTGCCTTAGGGCAGTGTTTCTCAACCTTCCTAATGCCGTGACCCCTTAATACAGTTCCTCATGTTGTGGGGACCCCCAACCATAACATTATTTTCATTACTACTTTCATAACTGTAATTTTGCTACTGTTATGAATTGTCATGTAAATATCTGATAGGCAGGATATATTTTCTTTCATTGGACCAAATTGGGCACAAATATCCAATATGCCGAAATTTGAATACTGTTGGGGGTTGGAGGGGGATTGTTGTCATTTGAGAGTTGTAGTTGCTGGGATTCATAGTTAACCTACAATCAAAGAGCATTCTGAACTTGATGGAATTGAACCAAACTTGACACACAGAATTCTCATCACCAACCGAAAAAACTGGATGGGTTTGGTGGGCATTGACCTTAAGTTTTGGAGTTGTAGTTCACCTACCTCCAGACAGCACTGTGGACTCAAACAATGATGTATCTGAACCAAATTTAGCACGGATACCCAATATGTCCAAATGTGAACACTGGTGGAGTTTGGGGAAAATAGACTTGACAGTTAGGAGTTGTAGTTGTTGAGATTTATAGTTCACCTACAATCAAAGAGCATTCTGAACCCCACCAATGATAGAATTGGGACAAACTTCCCACACAGAGCACCCATGACCAACAGATAATACTGTGTTTTCTGATGGTCTTTGGTGACCCCTCTGACACCCCTCGCAACCCCTCAGGGGTCCAGACCCTCAGGTTGAGAAACTCTGCCTTGGGGCCCTTCCACTTTGCCCTATATCACAGGATCTGATCCTAGAGTATCAGCTTTAAACTGGAATAAATGAACCCCCACTGCCAGATAACCTGAGATAAACAGATAACCTGGGATCAAATCCTGGGATAAAGGGGCAGTGTGGAAGGGCACTGAGTATCACCATAATTCAGAAACGACTTGAAATCACACAAAAACAACTTGAGTGCAAACTAGTATTATCCATTGGCAGCAATTGAATAGGATAAAGGGAGGGAAAGTGGGAAGCAAAAAGGAATCTCCGGCACCTTCAAAGCAGCTGGAAAACTGGAAGGACAGAGGATTCATCAGGATTGTCCTTTCCAAATCTGGACAGCCAGAGAGCATGTTTTTATTCAGAGTAGGATCAAGAATTTAGGTCCATGAGCAATGACAATGAATATAGTATAGAAGTCCAGTGGAACAGACAGGCACAGAGTGCATCTACACCAGGCATGGCCCAACTTTGGCCCTCCATGTGTTTTGGACTTCAGCTTCCACAATTCCTAACAGCCAGTAGGCTGTTAGGAATTGTGGAGATGAAGTCCAAAATATCTGAAGGGCCCAAGTTTGCCCATGCCAAATTATAGAATTAATGCAGTTTGACATCACTTTAACTGCCATGGCTCAATGTTATGGACTCCTGGGAGCTGTTGTCTGGTGAGACACCAGCACTCTTCAGCTGAGAAGGCTAAAGACCTTGTAAAACTATAAATCCCAGTTAAAAAACATGGTTGTTAAAAACCAACAAGAACAATTATTCTTTGTACAAACTTACTTTTCAAATGGTGCAAGTATAAAAGTAATTCTTTTGATTAGCTTGGCCTTTTATGCTAAGTATATTTATCTGATATGTCTCCGTTTTCATGTTGTTTCCCTTTTCAGGGTCTCAGTCCAGAATGCAGAGGTGAAAGGGGAAGCAATGGCTCAAGCAGCTCAGGTAAGAGGTCATCAGGAGCAATTATGGTCACAGAAAGTGCCTTATAGAAGTGTCGTATCTTTAAAAAAATAATTTGCATTTATTTTTACAAAATCTGGTTGCATTGGTTGACTTGGCTAAAAGATTGGTTAACACCAAAGAGCTTTAATCCATAGTTCCTTGGGCAAGAGGGAAAAAAAATATTGCAACATGGTAATTACAGGTTGAGCATCCCTTCTACCAAATGCTCCAAAATCCAAATATATCCAAATGGGGGTCTGAGATAGTGACACCTCTGCTTTTGTATTGTTCGCTTTGTTTAATGTGAAAAATTATTTAAAATATTGTATATATGATATATGAATGAATTTGACGTTTAGACTCAGGTCCCATCTCCCAAGAAAATTCATGCTTTCGGCATATGGAAAAACAACAAAAACCCAAAAAACATAACCCAAAATGTGTCGTCAAAGGCTTTCATGGCCGGAATCACTGGGTTGTTGTAAGTTTTCCAGGCTGCCTGGCCATGTTCCAGAAGCATTATCTCCTGACGTTTCACCCACATCTATGGCAGGCATCTCAGAGGTTTTGAGGTCTGCTGGAAACTAGTTGAGTGGGGTTTATATATCTGTGGAATAATGTCCAGGGTGGGAGAAAGAACTCTTATCTGTTGAGGCAAGTGTAAATGCTTCAATTGGCCACCTTGATTGACATTTAATGGCCGTGCAGCTTCAAAGCCTGGCTGCTTCTTGCCTGGGGGAATAATAATAATAATAATAATAACAACAACACTTTATTTGTACCCTGCTACCATCTCCCCAAGGGACTCAGTGCAGCTTACATGAGGCCAAGCCCACAATACATCAATAAACGTAACATCAATAAAACAAAATATCAATAAACAATCAATGCAATATAAATCATAATCACATAAACAAAATAGACAATAAGCAATCAACAGTAACATATAAACATTTAAAACCAAAGGGCGGGCCAAATGTGATAGATTAAAATTAAAAAATAGTGCTGATGTGAACCAGTTAGGATATAATTGGGATAGGATTTTTTGAGAGAATGAGGGAATTCTTTGTTGGGAAGTGTTAGCTATTGATTCATGTCTGGAATTCCCCTGGTTTTTGTTTTTCTATATTTACTGCCCTGATTTTAGAGTTTTTTTTAATTCTGGTAGCCAAATTTTGTTCATTTTCATGGTTTCCTCCTTTCTGTTCAAATTGTCCACATGCTTGTGGATTTCAATGCCTTCTTGGTGTAGTCTGATATGGTGGCTGTTAGAGTGGTCAGGGTAGCCAATTGCAATATTCACACCTGACTCAAGCAGACAAGAGTTCATTCTCCCACCCTGGACATCATTCCACAGATATATAAACCTCACTTGCCTAGTTTTCAACAGACCTCACAACCTCTGAGGATGCCTGCCATACATGCAGGCGAAACGTCAGGAGAGAATGCTTCTGCAACATGGCCATACAGCCTGGAAAACTTACAACAATCCAATAACCCAAACTTACAACAACCCAATAACCCAAAACATCTAAAATCAAATTCTGGTCCCAAACATTTCGGATAAGGAATACTCAACCTGTAGTATTTTAGGGTGGGCTTACCGACCAGGACAAACACTTCTGATAAAAGCTTTTCTCAGACCATGACCTGGAATGGAGGAGTCATCTTTGCTTCACTGTGGAGAAATAGGTATACAGACATACCTGAGTTACAAACATCTGACTTACAAATGACTCATAGGTAAGAACGGGGGTGAGACAACAGGAAGTGAGAGAAATCTACCCCTCGGAAGGGAAAGCCACTCCTGGAAGAGTTATTATCATGGGGAAAAGGGGTCTCCACTGAAGCTTTCTCACCAATCTTTGTTTCCACAAAAAGCCAAAATATTCAAAATGTATTTGTAACAGGGACAGAAAGTGATGTGAAATAAACAAAACCTCATTTCACATACAAAATACTTTCATCACTCAAAGGTTACAGTCTTGTCTTTTCCCCAATGTACTTTCTGTAGATAGAAAATTAAAATGGTGGGAGAAGGACAGCACTCAAAGGTTTGTTTTCACCATTGCCTTTGGATCTGTCGCAGCTCTCTTAATGCCAGACCATGTTTCTTCCTTTCCATATCATTCTGAGCTTGCCTTCTGTTCTGTATGCAGGAACCAGTGACCTTTGAGGATGTGGCTGTGTATTTCAGCAAAGACGAGTGGGACCTGCTGGATCCAAAGCAAAGAGTTTTGTATAGGGATGTCATAATGGAAAACTATGAGAATGTGTCCTTTCCTGGTAAGGCTTCATCTGAGTCCATTGTCCTTCTGAGGTTTTCAGTTGGGCTTCCCTAAGTCTTATAGACTCTTAATGCACAGACCGAAGTCCTGTCTCATAACATGCCATTTACACTGGCATATACAGTGCTCCCTTGCTACTTCACAGTTCGCTTTTCGTGGACTTGCTGTTTTGCGGGTTTTTGCCTCCCAGTTTATGAATGGTTGCCGTTTCCCAGAGCGGCGTTCTAATCCCACCTCCTGGCAACGATGGAGTGTGGAAGGGGGTTTCATCCTCCCCCTCGGGAGAGAGGCACACAATCAAGAGAGATTGCAAAGTAAAGCAGAGATAGCTAGCAAAAAAAAAGCGTGCCATGCCTTTAAATCTCTCTGCTTCACCCTCGGAACTCGATATACATATATAGTGTCCCTACATCACGGATTTTCACTTTTTGCAGGTGGTCCAGGAAAGTAACACCTGCGATATGTGAGGGAACACCGTACCTTGCTGCTTTCACCACTTCCCACTCAGGCATTTAAGAAGACCAAAAGTGGCAAAGTAATGGAGGAAATAGAGAGGGTCGGTGCTTCTTTTTAGGTTTTCCGGGGACAGACCAAGCTCTTGCCTTTTGCCACAGGAATGGTTCCTTTTTTATATACCGTAGAGTCTCACTTATCCGACATAAACAGGTTGGCAGAATGTCAGATAAACGAAAATGTCAGATAATACGAAGTCTCCTACTATTATCTGTCCAACGCAGCACTGACAACAGGGACTTAGAGGTTTAAGGCAAGGCAACACCTCGCGGCTAGAGCATAGTGATCGTGTTTGCTGTGTATTATTATTATTATTATTATTATTATTATTATTATTATTAACTTTATTTGTACCCCACAAATTCAAGAGAGATATTGACAAGCTGGAATGGGTCCAGAGGAGGGCGACTAAAATGATCAAGGGTCTGGAGAACAAGCCCTATGAGGAGCGGCTTAGGGAACTGGGCATGTTTAGCCTGAAGAAGAGAAGGCTGAGAGGAGATATGATAGCCATGTATAAATATGTGAGAGGAAGCCACAGGGAGGAGGGAGCAAGCTTGTTTTCTGCTTCCTTGGAGAACAAGAACAGTGGCTTCAAACTACAAGAAAGGAATTCCATCTGAACATTAGGAAGAACTTCCTGACTGTGAGAGCTGTTCAGCAGTGGAACTCTCTGCCCCGGAGTGTGGTGGAGGCTCCTTCTTTGGAAGCTTTTAAGCAGAGGCTGGATGGCCATTTGCCAGGGGTGATTTGAATGCAATATTCCTGCTTCTTGGCAGGGGGTTGGACTGGATGGCCCATGAGGTCTCTTCCAACTCTTTGATTCTATGATTCTATGACTCGATGCGGCTTACAAAGGCCAAGGCCTCAATACACAACATAACAATACAACCTAAAGCAAATTAAAACAGTTAAAGCAATATTAAACAACAAAACAACAAGCAATAAACAATACACCAAAAACACAATAAAACTAATCTTGTTGTGAATGAAATAATAATAATAATAATAATAATAATAATAATAATAATAATAATAATAATAGAAGCCATTGAAATCCACAAGCATGTGGACAATTTCAACAAAAAGGAGGAAACCATGAAAATGAACAAAATCTGGCTACCAGTATTTAAAAACTCTAAAATTAAAACAGCAAAACAGCAGAGGGAAAACAATCAGGGACATCTAATCACCTCTCAACAAAAGATTGCTCCAGGCACTGCCAGGCCATCAAATGCTAATCAAGGTGGTCAGTTGAAACATTCACACCTAGCTCCAGCAGACAAGAGTCCTTTGTCCCACGGTCTGCCAAGGCAGCAACAATTCCTAGTTCCAACAGACCTCACTACCTCTGAGGATGCTTGCCATAGATGCAGGCAAAACGTCAGGAGAGAATGCCTCTAGAACATGGCCATATAGCCCGAAAAAACCTTACAACAACCCAATAATAATAATAATAATTTCTTTTTGCTCTCTAATGTTTGGTATTTCATTCTTTCCATTTTTGTGCCTTTTTCTCCTGCAGGTAACTGGGAAATATTAAAGGTTTGCATGAAGTGTGGGAAATGTTTTATATACACACCAGGTCCTGCCGAACACAGTGAGACCCAGGAAGAAATGGAATGTGAATGTAAATACTTTCCACAAAAGATGTTGGTTACACTTCATGCTACAAACAAAAACTTGGGATATGAAGTATCAAGAAAATATTTTTCTTTCCCATCCGCAAATATAAGCCAAGAGCAATTGGGTACAGGAGAGAAATCAGAATTTGCCTGCTACCACAGATTCCACACAGGAGACAAACCATACAAATGCCAGGCATGTGGGAAATGTTTTGCTCAGAAGTCGCACCTTATGAGGCATCGGAGGCTACATACAAAAGAGGTGACTTTCACATGCAGTGAGTGTGGGAAATGCTTTGCTTCTAAGTCAGATCTCGTGAGACATCAGAAAGTCCATACAGGAGAGAAACCATACAAATGTGAGGAATGCTGCAAATGTTTTTCTCACAAAACCGATCTCATGCGTCATCAGGGGATCCACACAGGAGAAAAACCATATCAGTGCCAGGACTGTGGAAAATGTTTTGCTCGCAACACACAGCTTGTAACCCACCACAGAGTCCACACGGGAGAGAAGCCATACAGATGCCAAGAGTGTGCGAGATGTTTTGCTTACAGGACAGATTTTGTGCTCCACCAAAGGGTCCACACAGGAGAGAAACCGTATGTATGTGAGGAATGCAGAAAGGGCTTCTCTCGCAAGGCACTGCTTGTGGCACATCGGAGAACTCACACAGGAGAAAAACCATACAAATGTGAGGAGTGTGGGAAATGCTTGGCTTCTAAATCGGATCTTGTAAGACATCAGAGAGTGCATACAGGAGAGAAACCATACAAATGTGAGGATTGCCAAAAGTGTTTTGCTCACAAGACCGATCTCATTCATCATCAGGGGATCCACACAGGAGAGAAACCACACCAATGCCAGGACTGTGGAAAATGTTTTGCTCGCAAGACACACCTTGTAACCCACCAACGGGTCCACACAGGAGAGAAGCCCTACAGATGCCAAGAGTGTGCCAAATGTTTTGCTTACAGGACAGATTTTGTGATCCACCAAAGGGTCCACACAGGAGAGAAACCGTACAAATGCGAGGAATGCGGAAAGGACTTTTCTCGCAAGACACTTCTTGTGGCGCATCGGAGAACTCACACAGGAGAGAAACCATTCAAATGTGAAGAGTGTGGGAAATCTTTTTCTTGCAAGTCAAGTCTGGTGACACACGAGAGAGTCCACATTGGTGGGACGCCACACAAACATGCAAAGGGTGGTGCATACTTTGCTTCTCATTCGCAGCTTGCAGTACATTAGAGATCCCAGACAGGGTTATAGGATCTTGGGAGCCTGCTAAACACTCAATCACCAATAATAATTTTTATTGGAATGAAGTCACTTTGGTGTCAAACTGCTCAGAGTTGTGTGGAATATATGTTCTGCAACAAAATACTTGTAGGTACAATAGAGTCTCGCTTATCTGACATAAACGGGCTGGTAGAATGTCGGATAAATGAAAACGTCGGATAGAATCATAGAGTTGGAAGAGACCTCATGGGTCATCCAGTCCAACCCCCTGCCAAGAAGCACCTCCGCCATCCAGCCTCTGTTTAAAAGCCTACAAAGAAGGAGCCTCCACCACACTCTGGGGCAGCTCTTCCACTGCTGAACAGCTCTCACAGTCAGGAAGTTCTTCCTAATGTTCAGATGGAATCTCCTTTCTTGTAGTTTGAAGCCATTGAGGCCTAAGCAAGAAGTGAAGGTACCACTAGGTTCTTGTGGGTTTTTTCGGGCTATATAGCCATGTTCTAGAGGCATTTCTCCTGACGTTTCGCCTGCATCTATGGCAAGCATCCCATAGATGCAGGCGAAAAGTCAGGAGAAAATGCCTCTAGAACATGGCCATATAGCCCGAAAAAACCCACAAGAACCTAGTGATTCCAGCCATGAAAGCCTTCGACAATACAGTGAAGGTACCATTACCAAGGGCTTTGAGGGAAGGGGTAGCGTTTGTTTCCTTTGCTACCCCTGGCTCAGCTGCTGTGGACTCACTCCTGGCAGAACCTGGCAAATCTGGCCCTCCAGGCGTTTTGGACTTCAACTCCCACAATTGTTTGCACATGCCCACCCTACAAGGAGCACCTTGTACTTTTAACCTGGAGAGAAGAAGGTTTAAGAAGTGACATGATTAAATATTTGAAATTAAATATTTTAACTGTCCAAATTCTGATGCATTCCCTTCTGATTTTGTATTTTTTATGCACACTTTGGGAAAAAAATTAAATTTATTTGTGTCTGTGATGTTATCTAGCAGAATTCTGAATGCCTTATATAGGTGTTACTACATTCTTCCATCTCTGTGCATATTTCAGCCTGGCTGCTGTGGTCCTATAACATAGTAATCTTCCATATTTCCTTTTCAAATTGTTCACCCATCAGTCCTCAAAGGTCTTAATTAAATTGTGTTGTGCTTAGAATGTTAGACTACAACTCTGGGGCTGAATCTCAGCTTAGCCATGGAAACCCACTAGGGCAGTGTTTCTCAACCTGGGGATCAGGACCCCTGGGTGGGAGTCACAAGGAGGTGTCAGAATGGTCGCCAAAGACCACCAATAAACGCAGTATTTTTGGTTGGTCATGGGGGTTCTGTGTGCGAAGTTTGGCCCAATGTTATTGTTGATGGGGTTGAGAATGCTCTTTGATTGTAGGTGAACTATAAATCCCAGCAACCACAACTCCCAAATGTCAAGGTCTATTTTCCCCAAACTCCACCAGTGTTCACATTTAGGCATATTGAGTATTTGGGCCAAGTTTGGTCCAGATCTATCATTGTTTGAGTCCACAGTGCTCTCTGGATATAGGTGAACTACAACTCCAAAACTCAAAGTCAGTGTCTCCCAAACCCAGTATTTTTTGTTGGTCATGGGGGTTCTATGTGGGAAGTTTGGCTCAATTCTATCATTTGGGGTTCAGAATGCTCTTTGATTGTAGGTGAACTATAAATCCCAGCAACTACAACTCCCAAATGTCAAGGTCTATTTTCCCCAAACTCCACCAGTGTTCACATTTAGGCATATTGAGTATTTGGGCCAAGTTTGGTCCAGATCTATCATTGTTTGAGTCCACAGTGCTCTCTGGATATAGGTGAACTACAACTCCAAAACTCAAAGTCAGTGTCTCCTAAACCCAGTATTTTTTGTTGGTCATAGGGGTTCTGTGTGGGAAGTTTGGCTCAATTCTATCATTGATGGGGTTGAGAATGCTCTTTGATTGTAGGTGAACTATAAATCTCAGCAACTACAACTCCCAAATTACAAAATCAATTCCCCCAACCCCACCAGTATTCAAATTTGGGTGTATTGAGTATTTGTGCCAAATTTAGTCCAGTGAATGAAAATACATCCTGCCTATCAGATATTTACATGACAATTCATAACAGTAGCAAAATGACAGTTATGAAGTAGCAACGAAAATAATTTTATGGTTGGAGGGTCACCACAACACGAGGAAATGTATTAAGGGGCCACGGCATTAGGGAGGGGGAGAACCACTGATTTAAAGTAATGGAAAATAATCTGAAGTATACATGTGACCCCCAAGGCACAATATTTTAAAACCCCATGAAACTAAAATCCTGAAAACCTTTGCAAGGCAAGGAGGATTTCCCTGCTAAAACCTGGGAGGTGGGAAAGGTATTCTCTCCCTAGTGATTGACAGGTAGGACTTTCTCTCCTCTGAAACCCCCTCCTCCCCCCAAACCTGGACTGTCTAGGAATTGGCTCTTGCTGGCCACCAAATCCCACCCACCTCCCCTCCCAAAATAGCAAGGGAGAGAGAGAGAGAGAGAGAGAGAGAGGGAGCAACCCCTCCAGGAAGCTGCTTGAATTGGAGCCCAGCTTTGGAGACATTTTGCAAGCAGGTGAGTGCAAACAAGAGGCAAGGAAAGAGGTGGGTCCTTTCTTCCTTAAGCAGAGACAGGCAGGAAATCCGTGGAAGGAGGTGCCAGGGGGAGGCCCTCCTATTTCCCCCCCTTAATCCAAGGGGGAAAAAAACCCCTTTCCTTCCCTCTTTTAGAAGGTAAGGCTTTGCAATCCATGGGGTTTGCTTTGGAGTCTTCTTATATCTGAATTGGAGCTTGGAGCCAGCAGGAGGAGAGACAAAATATCTTTCCTTCCTCCCTCCCTCCCTGCCTTCCTGATTGCCTGCTTGCTTTGCTCAGAAGATCCTCAGGTTGTATCTTTTTCTAGCTTGCTACCTGGAAGGAAGCCCTTGAGTTCCCATTGGGCTTTATTGTTTTTGACTTCTGTTTGGATCACCTTTGCCTACCTTGCAGGGTTGTTGGGCACCTAGAGAGACACCTAAATCAGTCATGGGCCAACTTTGGCCCTCCAGGTATAGTTGACTCCAACTCCCACAATTCCTAAAAGCCAGGAATTGTGGGAGTTGGAGTCCAAAACACTAGAGGGCCGTTGTTTGCCCATGCCTGTCCTACATCATTGCTGATATGTGCCTTCAGGTCGATCCCAACCAAAGACCCTCCAGGTATAGTTGACGCCAACTCCCACAATTCCTAAAAGCCAGGAATTGTGGGAGTTGGAGTCCAAAACACCTGGAGGGCCCAAGTTTGCCTATGACTGCCCTACATCATTGCTGATGTGGGCTTTCAGGTCGTTCCCAACCAACCTATCACAGGGTTTTCTTGGCAGGGTTTGTTCAGGAGGGGCTTGCCATTGCTTTCACCGGAGGCTGAGAGAGTGTGGCTCGACCAAGGTTCACCCATTGCATTTCCATGGCCAGTGGGAATTTGAATACAGCTCTCCAGAAACGTAGTCCAACACTGAAACCACTACACCAAACCTCATTTCATCTACTGGACTTACTTCTAAGTAAGTTACTGTACTTTAGGCCTGTACAGACTTACCTTGGTAGTGAGTCCCACTAAACCTAATGGTACATATCCAAGTAGATACATATGCATTGGGAGACCCTGGTGGCGCTGTGGGTTAAACTGCTGAGCTGCTGAACTTATTGACCGAAAGGTCACAGGTTCGAATCTGGGGAACGGCGTGAGGTCCCGCTATCAGACCCAGCTTCTGCCAACCTAGCAGTTCGAAAACATGGAAATGGGAGTAGATCAATGGGTACATCTCTAGCAGGAAGGTTACGGCAATGCTCCATGTAGTCATGCCTGCAACATGACCTTGGAGGTGTCTACAGGCAACGCCGGCTCTTCGGCTTAGAAATGGAGATGAGCCCCAAATCCCCAGAGTCGGACACAACTGGACTTAATGTCAGGGGAAAACTTTTACCTGTACCTCCATTTAAAAGCCCCCTTCTCTCTTTCCTTTGACTAAGACCAAAAACAGCTCCTGGTTTAAGCAAATGAGCAAAGGCAAGGAGGGTTGCCAGTTTACCAAGGAAACAAACTGGCTTGGCCGGTTGGTTTGCTTTCAGGCTGCTTGCCATCAATGGAAAGGGACTTGACCGGTTTTCCCCCCATCTCTGTTAGTTCCCGTTTGTTAAAAAAATAAAGTTGTACACATCAGGCAAATAAGCTTTTGACCTGGCTTATGTCCCAAGCCTGCCCAAAACAACTGTGTTCTTTGTTTCCTCATAGTTTGTCCAGATGCCCTTTCTATGCGAGAGAGAGAGAGAGAGACGCCAAGTAAGTGGTCTTGCATTCAGTAGGATTGGTTGTTTTTGGAATCACTCTTGAGTGCCACTCATACATACATAAAATAAAATAATAAATTAAATCATTGTTCCGTGTGTTTCAGGTAAACCTATCACAGACTGAGAATTTGAATTATGTGTGTGTGTGTGTATACACACACACACACTAGCTTGAGGACTCGGCAATGCCCGGGTTGAGAAAGGCATTGTTTGTTTGCTGGATTCAGTGCTCTTTGGATAAAGGTGAACTACAATTCCCAGAGCCAAGGACAATCACCTGCAAACCTTGCCTTTATGCACAGTTGGCCATGTTGGGTCTGTGTGTCAAGTGTGATCCAGGGCTCTCTGGATAAGGGTGAACTACAACTCCCAGATCAGAGGTCATTACCCGCAAACCCCGCATAACCTGCAATGTCAGTGGAGGGAGTGAGAATGCTCTTTGATTGTAGGTGAACTATTAATCCCAGAATTTACAACTCCCAAATGACAAAATCAAATTTTTTGAGTGATGGTCACTCATTGGCCAGATAGGTGTGTTGTGTCCAAATTTGGTGTCAGTTCGTCCAGTGGTTTTTGAGTTAGGTTAATCCCACAAACAAACATTACATTTATATGTGTGTGTGTGCGTGTGTGTGCGTGTATGTATGTATTAGGAGCATTTCTATTCAGTCCTTCTCGCCTCCAAAGAGGGACTCAGGACGGCCAAACAATAAAACAAGCATAAGATACAATTAACCTACATTAAAAACAATTATAGATACATTAAAACAGTTTGCCGTTTCACGTCGTCTTCCAAATCAATCCATTGCCATCAGCTAAAAAGTCCATTTAAACCATCTATTCTGCGAACGCTTGATCTCATAACCAAGGTTTGAGCTTCTTCCGGAAGGTTATAAGGGAGGAGGCAGATCTGATCTCATTAAGAAGGGAGTTCCACAACGGAGGGGCCACCACCGAGAAGGCCCTGTCTTTTGTTCCCACCAAGTGCAACTGTAATGGCAGTGGGACCGAGAGCAGGGCACTCCAGATGATCTTATGGTCCTTGGGGTTCGTAGAAGGAGATACGTTCAGACAGGTAAGCTGGGCTGGAACAGTTTAGGGTTTTATAGGTCAAGACCAGCATTTTAAATTGTATGTGTGTGTATCCATGAACAATCATGAGATAGATAGAATTTCCACCAACACAACTTGACCAGCCATTTCTGTTGTGCTTTTTTCTACTCCCAGGTCAAGATTTGCAGTCAAGATAAAAATAGAGGAACAGAACACAATTGGGCAAGATCTGGGGTAGAAAATGGAAGAACAGAGACGAGACTGTAAAGTGGAGCCACTTGGGAGATTTCTCCCTGCCATTGATCCATCCCAAATTAAAGAGGAGCCAGATGAGGAACTCCACCCGGATGCTCACTGCCAGGATTTCCAGGCAACAAGTGATTCAGGAATAAACAAATCCCAGCTGCCTGGATATGAAAATAAGGATAATAGGACATTTTTCTCAGCACTTTTGAAAGATGTGGCTACCAATGCCAACCACAAACATGAATCCAGGGGATCATCAAAGTCCCAGATTCTCCTGGGAAAAGTTGAGAAGGCCTCTGCAAAACTGAGTTCTTCTATGAAAGAGAGAGAAGCAATTGAGGATAAACACAGAACTGGCTTGGAGATGTTGCGCCAGTGTTTCAGGACATTTGGCTATGAGGATGCCATTGGGCCACGGAAGGTATTTGGGCACCTCCAAGACCTTTGCCATCAATGGCTGAAGCCAGAGAGTCGCACAAAAGAGGAGGTCTTAGATCTGGTGATTCTGGAGCAGTTTATGGTGATCCTTCCGGTGGAAATGCAGAACTGGGTGAGGGAGGATGAGCCAAGGACTTGTGCCAAGGCTGTGGTCCTAGCAGAAGACTTCTTGCTTTGGAAAGAGGAGGTGGAAATACAGGAACAGGTGAGTGAATGTTGAGTGAATATTGCCTTGCATGACCAGGTGAGTATATATATTCATGTGTAAGTTGGCCTCATGCATAAATCAAGGGAAGGTTTTGGGGGCCAAAACTGTGCATTTTATTTTGATCCATGTTTGATTAATAATTTATCCATTTTAGTTACTCTTAATTGCCATGGATTGTTTTTCAGAAGGCAGAGCTGTCCCAGAGTGAAGACTTTCCCCGCAAAATTGAGCCCTGCCTGCAGACTGAGCCAAAAGGTGGTGGGAAGACCCCCCTCTTAGGTAAGGTTGTGTTTGTCCCTTAGAGACTCTGTAACAGGTATGGGCAAACTTCGGCCCTCCAGGTGTTTTGGACTTCAACTCTCACAATTCCTAACAGCCGATCTACAAAATGACTTCTGTATAACCATGCCTTTTCCTTTGTTAGCTGCTTTGAATTCGGAGCACAAAACTACAATGATACTGTTCACTTTAACCAATAATCAGGAAAGCTGGTCATTGTAGTTCAGGCATTGCACTACAAAGGTGGAATGAATGAGCGAAAGGAAAGGCAAAGGTTTCCCCTGACTTTAAGTCTAGTAGTGTCCGACTCTAGTGGGTTGTGCTCATCTCAATTTCTGAGCCAAAGAGCCAGCGTTGTCTGTAGATACCTTCAAGGTCATGTGGCCAGCAGTGTGTTAAACCCTGTGCTGGCAGGACTGGTGACGCAGTGTGTTAAACCCTGTGCTGGCAGGACTGAAGACCAACAGGTCGCAGGTTCGAATTTGGGGAGAGGCGGATGAGCTCCCTCTATCAGCTCCAGCTCCTCATGCAGGGACATGAGAGAAGCCTCCCACAAGGATGATAAAACATCTAAATCATCCAGGCGTCCCCTGGGCAACATCCTTGCAGACGGCCAATTCTCTCAAAGCAGAAGCGACTTGCAGTTTCTCAAGTCGCTCCTGACACGCCAAAAAAAAAAAAACCCTTCCCAAAGAAGCAGTACCTATTGATTTACTCACATTTGCATGTTTTCAAACTACTAGGTTGGCAGAAGCTAGGACTAGCAGCAGGGGTTCACCCTGCTCCTTGAATTCTAACCACCAACCTTTCGGTCAGCAAGTTCTGCAGCTCAGCGGTTCAACTCACTATGCCACCAGAGGGCCCAAATGAGCAATTATGCAATCTAAAAAAGTAACTGTGTACAGTCCACCCTCCACACGTCCACCTTCCACTATTATAGATTCTATTCTTTCTGAAATTGATAAATGTTTTTTCTAGGAATCTCTAGACCAGTGGTTCTCAACCTGGGGTCCCCAGATGTTTCTGGCCTATAACTCCCAGAAATCCGAGCCAGTTTACCAGCTGTCAGGATTTCTGGGAGTTGAAGGCCAAAACATCTGGGGACCCCAGGTTGAGAACCACTGGTCTAGACCCTCCAACATGACTCTCTGTTGTATGACGTCACGATTCCTAGAGCTAACATGTTTTTAGGCATTTGGAGGTCTTCCAGTGTGACTCTGGGGGCAGATTCTGGCAGAAGTCGGCCAAAGAGTTGTACTGGAGGATCTAGGGATTTCTAGAGAAGTATACCCATAGGCCAAACAATTCTGGTGATTTCTGTTTCTAAATTTAGTCTGGAGAAGAGAAGATTAAAAGGTGGGGACATGATAGCCATGTTTACATATTTGGGGAGGGGTCACGCTTGTTTTCTGCTCCTCCAGAGACCAACACATGGAGCCACAAATTTAAACTAAAGGAAAAGAGGTTCCACCTAAATAGTCAGAAAAACTTTCTTGATAGTACTGTGCGATGGTGAAACGGACAGCCTGTGAGTGTGGTGAAGTTTCCTTCCTTAGAGATTTTTAAAAGACTGTATGGCCATCTGCCAGGAGTACTTTGATTGCGTCTTCCTATATGGTAGAAGGAGGGTAGACTGGATGGCCTAAGGTTCTCTTCCAATTCTTGATTGTAATAATAATAACACTTTATTTATATTCCACTCTTCTCTCTGAGGGGACAGAGCGGATTACAGCATATAAACAGACACAGGCGAATATTCAGTGCTTGTTACAGTGAAATACAAGGAAACACAAATAACACAGACAAAGGCAAAGGCTTCTCCTTTCATTTCTGGTTCTGCGGGAGGTGCTGTTCTCCATGTCCAAACTGAGGAGATTGTGTTGTCCATAGACACCTCCAGGTTGTGTGGCTGGCATGACTGCAGGGAGTGTCTTTTTGCCTGTCCTGCTGAGGTGGTAACTATTGATCTACTCACATTTGCATGGTTTCGAACTGCTAGGTTGGCAGGAGCTAGAGCTAACAACAGGAGGTCATCTTATTCTGTGGATTCAAACTGCCAATCTTCAGGTCAGCAGTCCAGCAGCACAAGGGTTTAACACATTGTGCTTTGTTTCTGTCTCCACAAAAGGGTGAAGCTCATATTATAATTCTTTTTCCTTCAGGTGGTGGCCAAGTGGTTGAGAATGAAAAGAAGCCTTCCAAGCCAGATGGTTTTAAGAGTATGGAACTTGCTCAGATTCCTGTTGAAGAAAAAACCAACTGGGATATTATTTACACCTTTCCTCAAATGGCAAACATACCAAAAAGCCCACAAGAGATAGAAAGGATCAAGGGAGGTCTTGCAGATGAGAGAGAAGGAGAAAAACATTCTTGGGAGAGTGATGGTGATACAATCCTAGACAAAAACACCTTCCAAGAGAGATCACACAGAGATAATATTAAGATCAGCACTGACTGCGCAGAAAGCTTGATACAAACCCACAGCCTTCTTAAATGTCAGAAAACAGAAAATGAAAACAAGCCACACCAGTATATGAATGGCATGGAGAACATCACAATGGGAGAGGAACCATACATGGATTGTGGGACCAATTTGGGTTCAAAAAGTAAACTGAATAATCCACTTCCAACAGGAGAGAAACGATATAAATGTTCTGAATGTGGTCACCAATTCAGCCAGAGTTCAAATGTTACTGGAGACAGCATTTATATCTGTTCCAACTGTGGCAAAAGTTTTATTTCTAGTTCAGTGTTTGGAAGTACAAAAATGGTGCACAAAAAAGAGAAGCCATCTACTCATTCTGAAAAGGGATCTTCTGATTTTCAAACAGGAGAGAAACCATATACTTGCACAGACTGTGGGAAAACCTTCAGCTTTAGGTCGAGCCTTGTTCGCCACCAGCGACTTCACACCGGAGAAAAGCCCTATAAATGTTTGGATTGCGGGAAGCATTTCAGCCAAAGTTCAAACCTCCTTAATCACCAGAGAATCCACACTGGAGAGAAACCCTACAGCTGCGTGGATTGCGGGAAATCCTTTAGCAATAGCTCGAGCCTCACATCTCACGAGAGAACCCACAGAGGGGAAAAGCCCTATAAGTGCTCCAGCTGTGGCAAGAACTTCAGTTGCCATTCGGTGCTTCGGATCCACGAACGGATTCACACTGGCGAGAAGCCGTATGAATGCCTGAACTGTGGCAAAAGCTTCAGCCGGAGAGAATTCCTCATCGGCCACCAGAGAACGCATACGGGGGAGAAGCCGTATGAATGTTTCGAGTGTGGGAAAAGCTTCAGCCAGCGGTCAAACCTTCTTAATCATCAGAGAAGCCACACGGGAGAGAAACCATTCGAGTGTTTACACTGTGGGAAACGGTTCAGCCATAAGGCGTCCCTTTTTAAACATGAGAGGACCCACGGTCAGAGTCCAATGCTGGGAAAGGATTCAACCACAGTTCAAATGGCTCTGAATGTGACAGAACACACATAAGAAATGAAACTACAGGTGCATCTACATTGGAGTATGAAAGCAGTTTGATGCTACTTTAATGCCATGGTACACAAAGTATTATGTTATTGATGGTGAAACTTCAAATATGATGTCATATGACAGGTTTATTGCTTATCAACACAATATAGAGCAGTGGTTCTCAACCTGTGGGTCCCCAGGTGTTTTGGCCTACAACTCCCAGAAATCCCAGCCAGTTTACCAGCTGTCAGGATTTCTGGGAGTTGAAGGCCAAAACATCTGGGGACTCACAGGTTGAGAACCACTGATATAGAGGAACAACTTCTCTTTGTCATGGATAAATGTCCACATTAATGTAGATAAACATAATCTGTCTGATGATTTAAAGAGTCACTTGTAGATGTTTCAAAGGACTATTTGTGGCATCCAAGGTTGTGGTTGTATCCCGTATAGACTACTGCAACACTCTCTACATGTGGTTGCCTCTGAAGACTGCCCGGAAGGTGCAACTAGTCCAACATGCGGCAGCCAGATTACTGACAGGAGCGGGGTACAGGGAGCGCACAACTCCTCTGTTGTGTCAGCTCCCCTGGCTGCCAATTAGCTTCCGAGCACAATTCAAAGTGCTGGTGTTAACCTACAAAACCCTAAACGGTTCTGGCCCAGTTTATCTGTCTGAACGTATTCTCCCCTATGAACCATCAAGGTCTGGAGGGGCCCTGCTCTTGGTCCCGCCACATGGTGGGGACGAGAGACAGGGCCTTCTTGGTGGTGGCCCCTTGGCTTGGAAAATCTCTCCCGATGGAAATCAGATCTGCCCCTTCCCTCCTGACCTTCAAAAAGCTAGTGAAATCCTGGCTCTGGGACAAAGCATTCCCAGAATAATTGGTTGAGTCCAGCAATAACCTAATAATTACTGACCATATTTGCGGATTCAGTTGAACTTGATTCTATCTTGGCGATTTGGCTTATATGTATTTATTCTGTCTGTATTTTAACTTATTATGATTTTATGATGTTTTTAGTTGTATTTGTGCATTGAATTTCTGCTGTTAGCCTGTCTGAGTCCCTCCACGGAGGTAGAGAAGATCAGGATATGAAAATTTTAAATAAATAAATAATAAAATTAATTGTGTCAGAGAAGAGTTCCTTGTTTCAGTGTTTGTGATGAAAACACCTTCTTCAGGTAATGAATTTTTCTTAATATTTCAACAGGAGACAAGTCTCTGGGACTACAATTAAATGTATGAAAAGAACAACAACATACATAAAATAGATATGCTATGGCACCCCTATTGTTATGTTAACATTAAATCAATACATAACTAATACAAGATAGTTAAAGTAATGTTCACTCACAACAGAATCTCCTGCAGCAGCGCCTGTGATTACTTAATGAAGATTACTTAATTACTGAAGAAGGTGTTTTCATCACCAACATGAAACAAGGAACTACACCCGGGATACCTTGTTGTAACCTTGTCACCGTGTAGAACTCTTGTCTGACACAACCTTGGATGCCACAAATAGTCCTTTGAAACATCTACAAGTGACTCTTTAAATCAGGAGTCCTCAAACTTTTTAAACAGAGGGTCAGGTCACAGTCCCTCAAACTGCTGGAGAGCCGGATTATAATTCGAAAAAATATATGAATGAATTCCTATGCACACTGCACATATCTTATTTGTAATGCAAAAAACACTTAAAAACAATACAATTATTAAGATAAAGAACAATTTTAACAAATGTAAACTTATTAGTATTGCAGTGGGAAGTGTGGGCCTGCTTTTGGCTGATGAGATAGGGTTGTTGTTGTTGTTGTTGTTGTTGTGTGCTTTCAAGTCGTTTCGGACTTAGGTTGACCCTGAGTGAGGGCTGGGTAAATGACCTTGGAGGGCCGTATCCGGCCCCCGGGCCTTAGTTTGAGGACCCCTGCTTTAAATCATCAGACAGATTGGACTGTTATGTTTATCTACATGAATATGGACATTTATCCATGACAAAGAGAAGTTGTTCCTCTATATTGTGTTTATAAGTAATAAACCTGTCATATGACATCATATTTGAAGTTTCAACAACACTCACACAAAACTTTGTGTATCTTATTAGTAGATATCCGTGTTCTATATATTACTTTAATGCCACGGCCCAATTCCATGGAATTCTCTGCTGTTTAGTTTTACTTTCTCTTTAGTAATCTCTGCCAAATAATGAGTTGGTTTAAACTGAGATAAATTAACTTCCTTATCTCAATCTTCTTCGACCTCTCAAGCATCTGTCTGAAGGCACAAAGGTAGTAAACACACTGGACTTCCTGAATCAGCTTCTAAGCTAAACCAGCACTTATCTTTATTTCAGTATTTACACTAGATATATGAGCATCGTAAATCATGTCCACTGGCATCTGAACACACCACAAGAAGCGCATTCCAGCCTTATCAGTTCTTCAGCATCCCGCTTACACGGGAACTGACTAAAGATACAATCTAGCATTTTAATACAACTCGGTGTATTAACTCATGCATTACTAAACCACACAGTTTAAACTATAAGCAATATTTCACTTCACATAAAATAATAATAATAATAATAATAATAATAATAATAATAATTTAGTTATACCCCACAACCATCTCCCCCCAGGGGACTCGGGGCAGCTTACATGAGTAAGCCCATCAATACAGTAAACACAATATAACACAAGAGCATAACAAAAGCCAGAAAATAAAATACATAAAATGCAAAAACCAATATAATAAGCGACACAGCAATATAAAATCAAACATTAAAACACAAATAATTACACTGGGCAGGGCCAAATTCAAAGATAACATTTTAAAACACTGGGAGATAGGACAATGTAAAATATCAAGGAGGGGATCCAGGGATGAGGAAGGATTTAATTGCACGAACCAAAAAATAAAGTGCTTCTGTGGCCATTTTATGCAAGGTTTGGTCAGGGAGTATCTTACATTCAATCATTGAAGGCACATTGGGATAAACCAAGTTTTCAGGCTCGTCCTGAAGATTGCCAGGGTGGGGGCTTGCCTAATATCTCTGGGGAGTGAATTCCAGAGCCAGGGGGCCACCACAGAGAAGGCCCTCTCTCTCGTCCCAGAAGATCGAAGAGGTCGTGTGGGTTCATAGATGGAAATGCAGTCGGGCAAGTAGGCGGGTCCCAAACTGTTCAGGGCTTTGTAGGTCAAAACCTGCACCTTGAATTGGGCCCGGAAAATAAACAGCAGCCAGTGGAGCCCCTTAAACAGGGTACTAACAATGTACTAACAACATGTGAGTGCCTCACCAAATGACAACCCCTAGGATTCCATAGCAGGGAGTCATGACAGTTAAAGTAATGCCTAACTGCGTTCATTCTCCAGTGTAGATGCACCCCATATCTCATAGGGCGACCGGAAGATGTTTCCCCCATTGTATAGAAAAAATCCACCAAAGATTAAAAACAGGAATGACAACAGGTAGAGGTATTGTCAGCATTTTCCCCAACTTTGGCATCCTGGAAGTTGTGCTCAATTACGGCTACCAGGGGTGTGCTGTCGCTCCATTCTATATGACAAAGAGCACTTGATCACAAACTTCATTTTTTTTCTTTGATTGCCAGCATTTTCTGGTATTTCCTTTTTATGGTGCGGTAAAATACTTCCCAACTTAAGTGGTTCCTAATTTATCTACTCACAGCTGTTTTTGAACTGCTAAGGTGGACAGTGAGCTGGGCTGAAGGTTGGGTGCTTGCCCTGACCTGGGCTTTGAGCTGCCAACCTTTTGATTGGTAAGATCTATTGCTGCTGGTGATTAACCAGCTGTGCTAAAGACTGATTTTAATAAAAATGCAGTCAATCAATGCATTTGTATTATTACTGGAAGCCAATGTTTATTAGTGAGCAGGTATTTTTAATCAGTAGGCAATGATCTAAAGGCAGTGGGGTGAAGAAAAAGAGGGTTCACCTGCCCTGTTCAATTTTTTTTAACCATGTCAGGAGCAAACCAAAACATTTGTATTGCTTTAAAAAACAGACAATCAAATGAACAAAACACAGTGTTTGCAGACTTGGTATTCTATTAAATGTCCTTTGACCAGTAGCTGGCCACTTGGATTGCCTCTGGTGTTGCTGCAAGAAGGTCCTCCATTGTGCATGTGGCAGGGCTCAGACTGCATTGCAGTAGGTGGTCTATGGTTTGCTCTTCATCCGCCGGGAAGTAGCAACCAATAGTGAAAGGACCAAGGCAGTGATATCTCCAGCCCACCCCATTTGGGTATCAGCCAGCACGTCAATGACTTAAATCAAGAAGTAGTTTTTTAAGAGCTACAGAGACACTTGCTGGAACACCTCAGCAAGCGAGAGTCCAAAAGTGGCAGGCTCATCCCAGAACCTCAATCAAAGGCTGATACCAAATGAGAGACTGCCTCCTGGGCACACAGAAAACTGGGTGACTTGGAAGGAGCTGAACAGACTGCGCTCTTGCACCAAGACAGTTTAATACCATTTTAACTGCCATAAATCAATGCTGTGGGATCTTGGGATCTGAGGTTTGGTGAGGCACCGGAAGTCCTTTTGTAATACTACAACTCCCAAGATCCCATAGCATTGAGCAGTGGCAGTTAAAGTGGCATCAAACTGCATTCATTCTACAGTGTCCATACTGTAATGGAAGGCAAAGGAAGTCATTAAAGCTTTCTTTCTGGTGAGCTTTAGCATTTGGTTTATTGGGCTGCTTCTTCGTAGTTCAAAAAACATAAATGGTCTGAAGGCATAATAAAACATACATGATAAGGACTATGGAGCTGTTGAGATGTTGTTGGACTACAAGTCTTCTTGAACTTAACCAGTTTAGCCTAAGAGCCTTAGCTAGAAAGAACTAGTGAAAGTAACAGTCATAAGTCATAAAGGTTCTCTGGAAGTTGTCCAGCAGAAGTTGGATGGTCATCTGTTGGGGGTGCTTTGATTGCGTGTTCCTGCATGGCAGAATGGGATTGGATTGGATGGCCCTTGGGAGTATCTTCCAATTCTAGGATTCTATGATTCTATAAATTTAAGAAATATTTGGTAGCTTCATGATCAGCAGAATAGGGTTTGATAGGTTTGTTCGGAAGAGATTGAAATTCGGAATGAAACATGAATTTGGACTTCTGATGCAATTTTGAACCATGCAGGAAAGGGAGGGAGATCTGAATTTGAATCACTTACCTTTTTTCCGGAAATATTCTATAATGTTTGGATGTCTCCCAAGGTTATTTTAATTTTCACAACCATTAAGCAACTTTGGTAAAGGCAAGGGAATTTAAAAAATCTCATGCCTTCCGCACCACTGGCAATACAAGGAGGGAATTGTTTGTGGCTAATCACAGCCAGGTGCACCGGGATTGTGGCACAGCTGGCTGAGTGTCAGCTGCATTCAGATCACTCTGACCAAAAAAGGTCACGAGTTCGAAGCCAGCCCGGGTTGGAGTGGGTTTCCAACCAATTGTGTGTAGCCTGTTGTCGACCTTTGCAACCCGAAAGACAGTTGCATCTGTCAAGTAGGAAAATTAGGTACCACCTTAAAAGTGTGGGGAGGCTAAATTAACTGATTTATGAGGCCATAAAGAAGACTCCAGCAAAGCATTCCAGCGGGGAAGCATGCGGGGAATGCGGAAGTGCTTCATCAGCGTTCGCAGATGGACGATGAAAGCGACAGCTCCCCTGGTGGCCAGAAAAAGTTAAATAGCTTCTGTGTATGTCTGTATATGTTTGTATGTCAAAAATTGGCATTGAATGTTTGCCATATATGTGTACACTGTAATCCGCCCTGAGTCCCCTGCGGGGTGAGAAGGGCGGAATATAAAAGCTGTAAATAAATAAATAAATCTGAAACTGTAGTAGTTTGTGAAGGCCAGGCCCCCAATGGTAGAGATTGCAAAAAGCCCTGCTGTTAAACTACATTTCCCCCAATGCTCACCTGCTCATTAGCCAAAATGGCTGAAGGACCCAAAAGTAGCTGTCTGTAGCAGTCTTCATCTAAATATAAAATAAACTGATTGAATCTACAAAGGTGTCTAAAGAAGGCAGCAAGCGATAAGCAACTTTTGCAAGAGAACATAAACTGCTTAAAAACCAATCCTTTTACTTTGGCCTGATTGCCATGAACAAAGCACTGGGGTAGCCAGCCAATCAGCCCTTTACGTCAGTAAGTAATGGTAAAATAAAATGATTGATTGCATCTGCAAATAGAAATAAACAGATGGATGTGTCTTGAGGGTCCCCTCCAACTCAGTAGAGGAAGCAAATGGATGTCAGGTAAGTTTGGATGGTGCCTTTCTGCCCAGACGAAGGGGGTCAGTCTAGATCTCCCTTGATTGGGTCTGTACTATGATTTCTGTGCTCCGCCAATTTAACACAGTTTGTGCCACACAGAGTTTGTGGAGTAGAACAACTACTTTCAAAGTAAAGACCACCCAATGAAACAGGAAATAACACTTTCAAACCAGGAACAGGTTTTCTTTATTTTAAATAAAAACTTTGAAAATTCACCAAAAATCCATGGATAAGTCAAAGGTTATAAAATTCTGTGAGCTAACAGTGGTCCATGTGTTCTACCACTGTAGCAAGTTTCATCAGGATTTATGCAACATGACACCACTTTAATTACCAGGACAAAATGCGATGGGATCACAAGTTTTTCCTCTGCTCAAACTGGTGCCTTACCAAACCATAGCTTCCAGGATTTCAAAGCACTGAAATGTGGCAGCTAAAGTGATGTCAAACTGTATTTTTTCTATAATGTAGGCGCACCTTAGACTCGATCAAATCGCAAGAAATTGGGTTCTCCATTTCTGCAAATAATGTTTCTAATAATGCTAAAATGAACATATAGTGGAAGCAGTGACAGACTTTGTATTTCTAGGTGCAAAGATTACTGCAGACACAGACTGCATTCAAAAAATGAGAAGATGTTTACTTCTTGGGAGGAGAGCAAGGACCCATCTTGATAAAATAGTGAAGGGTAGAGACTGCACACTGGCAACAAAGATCCGCATAGTTAAAGCAATGGTATTCCCCATAGTCACCTACGGATGTGAGAGCTGGACCATAAGGAAGGCTGAGCGAAGGAAGATAGACACTTTTGAACTGTGGTGCTGGAGGAAAATTCTGAGAGTGCCTTGGACCGCGAGAAGATCCAACCAGTCCATACTTCAGGAAATAAAGCCCGACTGCTCATTGGAGGGAAGGATAGTAGAGGCAAAGATGAAGTACTTTGGCCACATCATGAGAAGAAAGGAAAGCTTAGAGAAGACAATGATGCTGGGGAAAATGGAAGGAAAAAAGGAAGAGGGGCCAACCAAGGGCAAGATGGATGGATGGTATCCTTGAAGTAACTGGTTTGACGTTCCGAGAGGGAGCTCTGGCATGGGCTGGTCCATGAGGTCACCAAGAGTCGGAAGCAACTGAATAAATAACAACAAAACATATAGCCATCTTGAGCACCACACATTGAATCGCGTGAATGATAATAGAAGTACATAATTGAAATATGCAGTATTTATCTTACATCCAACCTCACAACAACCTTGCAAGGTAGGCTGGGGTATTTCTATCCTACAGATGTGTAACCAAAGCTTGCAAAGCCTGAACCAGAATTCCCACACTAAGGTAAAAGTCAGTAAATCACTGGGGCACCTGACACACAAATAAATGATGAAATCACTCAGGAAAAAAACAATCCTAACTTCTAAATTAAAAAATAATAGTAGAACTAGAAGTATAATCAGGCACAATACATTGATTAAAAAATTGACTTGGGCAACCCAGTTCTATGTATGCTCTCACACACAGGAACAAGAGTGCATTCACACAGTAGAATTAATGCATTTTGGTACCAGGGCTCAGTAATGGAATTGTGGGTTGTAGATTCGTGATGCACCAGCATTCTTTGGTAGAGAGCGCGAAAGACCTTGAAAGACTACAACTCCCAACATTCCATAGCACTGAGGCATAACAGCAAAAATGGTGTCAAAACTGCACTTAATTCTACAGTGTAAATCAGGCCTGGGCAAACTTTGGCCCTCCAGGTGTTTTGCACTTCAACTCCCACAATTCCTAACAGCCAAAAGATATTATTCCACAGATAAATAAACCTGACTTGTCTAGTTTCCAACAGACCTCACAACCTCTGAAGATGCCTGCCACAGATGTGGGCGAAATGTCAGGAGAGAATGCTTCTGGAACATGGCTATACAGCCCAGAAAACTGACAGCAACCCAGGTCTCTTCTTTTCCATATGGGTTGACTCATGTGCAGTCAGGCTCAAAGCAATTGCCAGAATCTGAATATTTTGAGATGCCCTGCCGCGCGTGTACCTTCTCATGCTTTAGGAGGCCAGAACTCTGCTTGAACCTTTTGCCGCAATGTGAGCATTCGTAGGGTTTCTGACCGGTGTGGTTCCTTCTATGTCGGGTAAGGCTGGATTTGTTACTGAAGGTGTTTCCACAATCCGGGCACTGGTAGGGCTTTTCTCCAGTGTGGATCCTCTCGTGCTTCACCAGGTTTGAGCTCTGAGAGAAGCGTTTCGAACAGACCGAGCAGCTATACGGAGTCTCTCCGGTGTGGGTCCTCCCGTGAACGAGAAGGCTGGAGCTCTGCTTGAAGCTCTTGCCGCAGTCCGAACATATGTACGGCCGCAGACCCGTGTGGTTTCTCATGTGCCGGATCAAGCTGGAGCTCTGGCTGAACCTTTTCCCGCAGTTGAAACAGCAAAAAGGCTTTTCCCCGGTGTGTTTCCGCTTGTGCCGAGTGAGGCTGGATTTGTTGCTGAAACTGTTCCCGCAGTCGGCACATTTGTACGGCTTTTCGCCCGTGTGGGTTCGGTCGTGAGTGAGAAGGGCTGACCGTTTCTTAAAACTTTTCCCACAGTCAGAGCATTTGTACCATTTCTCAGCCGGGTTCGTTCTCTCGCGGTTCATTCTGCTTGGTTTGCCGCCAAAGCTGTTGTCGCAGACAGAGCAGTAACAGGGATCATCTCCTGAATAAAGCTATTTGTATTGTCTCCTGGAACAAAGAGATATAATCTTTACACAGATTGTTTGAAGAAAACAGCAGATGTACTGCACGCAAACAAGTATCAGGCAAATCGTTGTGGATTTCTTCAGCCCTTTTCAATAACCAATTTTAAGCAGCTACACAGTTTCAGTTCCAATTTCCCCTCTTGTTTCTTTTACACATTTTTTTCCCATGTCAGGAGCGACTTGAGAAACTGCAAGTCGCTTCTGGTGTAAGAGAATTGGTCATCTGCAAGGACATTGCTCAGGGGATGCCCGGACGTTTTGATGTTTTGCCATCCTTGTGGGAGGCTTCTCTCATGTCCCCACATGAGGAGCTGGAGCTGACAGAGGGAGCTCATTTGCCCTCTCCCTGGATTCAAGGCTCCATCCTGTCAATCTTCAGTCCTGTTGGCACAAAGGTTTAACCCATTGCACCACCGGGGGCAATGTTTATTTTGTCATGTCAGAAGCGACTTGAGAAACTGCAAGTCGCTTCTGGTGTGAGATAATTGGTCGTCTGCAAGGACGTTGTCCAGGGGATGCCCGGATGTTTTGATGTTTTGCCATCCTTATGGGAGGCTCTCTCATGTCCCTTCATGGGGAGCTGGAGCTGACAGAGGGAGTTCATTTGCGCTCTCCCCGGATTCAAACCTCCGACCAGTCTTCAGTCCTGTTGGCACCCATTGCGCCACTGGAGGCAATAAACTTGTGTGATCCTTGCTTAAAGAGACACTTTACTTTTGAAATACAGGTTGAGTATTCCCAATCCAAAACATCCCAAAATGGTCCACAAATGATGCACCTACGCTGTTGGACGAATGCAGTTTGACATCACTTTAACCGCAGTGACTCAATGCTGTGGATTTGTAGGTTGGTGAGGCAACAGCCTTTGCAGGAGCCCCCGGTAACACAGTGGGTTAAAACCCTGTGCCGACAGGACTGAAGACTGACAGGTCGCAGGTTCGAATTCGGGGAGAGCACGGATGAGCTCCCTCTGTCAGCTCCAGCTCCTCATGCATGGACAGGAGAGAAGCCTCCCACAAAGATGGTAAAAACATCAAAACATCTGGGCGTCCCCTGGGCAACGTCCTTTGCAGAAGGCCAATTCTCTAACACCAGAAGCAACTTGAAGTTTTTCAAGTTGCTCCTGACACGAAACAAAAACAAAAACAGCCTTTGGCAAAGAAGGCTAAGGACCTTATAAAAATACAACTCCCATGACTCCATAGCATTGAACTATGGTGGATAAAGTTGTGTCAAACTGCAATAATAATAATAATAATAATAATAATAATAATGATTTATTTGCATTCTGCCCTATCTCCCAGAGGGGATTCAGGTTGGATTCCAGCATATACAGACACAAGGGCAAAAATTCAATGCCTAGAAACAACGACACACAGATACAGAGTAAAAGGTAAAGTCTTCCCCTTTCATCTCCAGCTCTGGGTGTGGTGCTCATCTCCATCTAAGCCGAAGAGCCGGCATTGTCCATAGACACCTCCTAGGTCATGTGGCCGGCATGACTGCATTGTGCACCGTTTCCCTTCCCGCTACTCCATGCAGTCATGACCTTGGAGGTGTCTACGGACAATGCCTGCTCTTTGGCTTAGAAATGGAGATGAGCACCGTCCCCAGAGTTGGACACGACTAGACTTAATGTCAGGGGAAACCTTTACCTTAACTAACGATGATGATGATGATGATGATTTAGATTTTATGTCTTGATAGAGACCCAAAGCAGCAAGAAGATGGACACAGGGATATATGTTCCCCACTCCTTCTGTACAATAAAACTCAGGAGTTTCTGAATATAAATCCACAGAGAAACAGAAACAAGGGGAAGGAAATAGTTAAGGAAAAATCAGAAAATGGCAAGGGAACTGTAGATATTCCCATCCTGGGATGCATCTACATTGTATAATTAATGCATTTTGACACCACTTTCACTGCCATGGCCCAATGCTATGGAATCAAAAGAGTTATAGTTTCTATGTATTGTCAAAGGCTTTCATGGCCGGAATCACGGGGTTGTCGTAGGTTTTTTCGGGCTATAAGGCCATGTTCCAGAGGCATTTTCTCCTGACGTTTCACCTGCATCTATGGCAAGCATCCTCAGAGGTAGTGAGGTCTGCTGGAAGTAGGAAATTATAGTTATAGTTTCTCTTTAACAGGACTCCATAGCAGTTAAAGTGAGATCAGACCTTATTTATTCTGCAGGGTAGAGATGCTCCCTCCATCTCCCTTCTTACCTCTTTAAGCATCCTAGGGTCCTTTGTGCATTCCAACATCCAACACAGGTGAATACTTTCTCCAGTCTCTCAAGTGGAATAGAGTTCCAAAGGCTCCAGCAGGCATTTTTTTCCCCTCCAAGAGATAGTGCTTGCAGTAGAGAACAAATCAGGTTGCATTCACATTGTAAAATCAATGCAGGCTGACACCACTTGAACTGCCATGGTTCAATGCTTTAGAAGCATGGGAGTTGTAGTTTTACAAGGTCTACATTTTGTCAAAGTAGGGCTCGTGCCACACCAAACCACAACTCCCATTATCCCCACAGCATGGAGCCAGGGCAGTTAAAAGAGTGGTATTAATCTGCAATTAATTCTGCAGTGTAGATGTGCCCTTTGTTTAAGACTGCATTAATCCAAATCAACTCATGCATGCATGCACATTGCACACCCAAACAATGAAATGTCTTAACCTTTTTTTTTTAGCAGAGGCGCAATGGCATTTCAATCAGTCTTGCTCAGATTTGTCTTATTGTTGTGTTCTTTTTAGAGAGGCTTTCCCCCTTTTGTTTTCCACTTCCTATCATGTGATGTGATTAAAGCCAAGCCAGGAGGCTGGCACTTCCAGACCCTACTAATCCTTTGCTGGAGAGCATGGATGACTTCAAAAACTCTGGCTTTCCTTGCTTGCAAACAAAAAAGAGGCAAAAATTAACTAAGGAATGTAGAAGTTTGGAAATATTTTATATTTTTTTAATTTATCATAACAGAAGTAAACCGAGGGTACAATTGTATTTCAAAAAACATCAAGTTTAAAAACTTTGCATTATACTAAGTGTCCTTTGACCAGTAGCTGGCCACTTGGAGCACCTCTGGTTTTGCTATAAGGAGGTCCTCCATTGTGCATGTGGCAGGGCTCAGGCTGCATTGTAATAGGTGGTCTGTGGTTTGCTCTTCTCCACACTCGCATGTCATGGACTCCACTTTGTAGCCCCATTTCTTAAGGTTGGCTCTGCATCTTGTGGTGCCAGAGCGCAGTCTGTTCAGTGCCTTCCAAGTCACCCAGTCTTCTGTGTGCCCAGGAGGAGTCTCTCATTTGGTATCAGCCATTGGTTCGGTTCCTGGTTTTAGCCTGCCACTTTTGGACTCTTGTTTGCTGAGGGGTTCCTGTGAGCATCTCTGTAGATCTTAAAAAAAACTATTTCTTGATTCAAGGCATTGGCGTGCTAGCTGATATCTGAACAGAGGATAGGCCGGAGATGGCTCGAGAACAGTACGTGTGAAAAAGATCTTGGAGTCCTCGTGGACAACAAGTTAAACATGAGCCAACAATGTGATGTGGCAGCAAAAAAGCCAATGGGATTTTGGCCTGCATTAATAGGAGCATAGTGTCTAGATCTAGGGAAGTAATGCTACCCCTCTATTCCGCTTTGGTTAGACCACACCTGGAATATTGTGTCCAATTCTTGGCACCACAATTCAAGAGAGATATTGACAAGCTGGAATGTGTCCAGAGGAGGGCGACTAAAATGATCAAGGGTCTGGAGAACAAGCCCTATGAGGAGCGGCTTAAGGAGCTGGGCGTGTTTAGCCTGAAGAAGAGAAGGCTGAGAGGAGATATGATAGCCATGTATAAATATGTGAGAGGAAGCCACAGGGAGGAGGGAGCAAGCTTGTTTACTGCTTCCATGGAGATTAGGATAAGGAACAATGGCTTCAAACTACAAGAAAGGAGATTCCATCTGAACATGAGGAAGAACTTCCTGACTGTGAGAGCTGTTCAGCAGTGGAACTCTCTGCCGCGGAGTGTGGTGGAGGCTCCTTCTTTGGAAGCTTTTAAACAGAGGCTGGATGGCCATCTGTCAGGGGTGATTTGAATGCAATATTCCTGCTTCTTGGCAGGGGGTTGGACTGGATGGCCCATGAGATCTCTTTCAACTCTTTGATTCTATGATTCTATGAAATGTTTGTTTTACAAATGCAAATAATACTTTCATAATACTATTGCCCTGCTGCCTCATAGGATAAACTCATATATTTCATTAGTCACATGGATGTAGAAAGGAGAATTGGGGTGTATCTTCACTGTAGAATCAATGTAGTTTGATACTACTTTAGCTGCCATAGCTCACTGCTATGGAATCCTGGGAACTGTAATTTGGTGAGGCACCAGCACTCCCTGGCAGAGAAGGCTAAATACCTTGCAAAACAATAAATTACATGATTCTATAGCTGAGCTGTGGTAGTTAAAGACATATCAAACTGCATTCATTCATCAGTGCAGATCAGAGGTTTCCCAAACTTAATTGGTCTACCACTCTTTTTTCAGAAATAAATATTACTCAGTGCACTCTGGAAATCTACCTTCTTTAAGCCAACAAAAGGAAAAATGCAATGACACATTTGTGTGATTTTATGTGTCTATATTTCTACCTGCATCCTACAATAAAGACAATTCTTCTTGTACTTTTTTTTCTTTTTGCAATCGTTCTGTTATTTGACCAACAGCCAAATATCAGGTACATCACAGCTCTTGCCTGAGATGGTAAAAGGCAAGCAAACTAAAATCTAAAAGAAACAATTAAACTGGGTTTTGGTCTTTGATCTGCATCTGATGTATGCATTTGATATTAAATTGTCAAATATCTAAGTAAATTTACCAAGAAATATCATTACAAGCATGGGCTTAGCTCATCGGACTAAACTGCTGAGTTGCAGAAAATCCTACCAATCAAAAGGTTCAAGCTAGGGTCGGGGTTTGTACCCGCCATCAACCCCAGCTCCCTGCCCTCCTAGCAGATTGAAAGCAGATATGTGAGTAGATAAATGTTTACTGCTTTAAAAAGCGGGTAGTTTATAAAAGGTGCTCATAACACAAATTCAATCCGGAGGACATCTAAGAGCTCCTCAGCTTAGAAGACAGAGCAACAGCACCCCCCACCTCAGTGGCTGGAGTTAACTGTATAATACCATTGAAAGTTTGCCATATATGAGTTCCCTCAGGGAGACAGAGCAGAATATAAATTAAGTATATTAATATTACTCCTGCCAATGTATGGATTTCCTGACAATGCTTGACATGTATTGTCGAAGGCTTTCATGGCTGGAATCACTAAGTTCTTGTGGGTTTTTTGGGCTATATGGCCATGTTCTAGAGGCATTCTCTCCTGACGTTTCGCCTGCATCTATGGCAAGCATCCTCAGAGGTGAGGTCTGTTGGAAGTAGGAAAATGGGTTTATATATCTGTGGAATGACCAGGGTGAGACAAAGGACTTTTGTCAGTTGGGCTAGGTGTGTTAATGTTTCAATTGACCACCTTGATTAGCATACAATGGGCTGACTGTGCCCGGAGCAAATTCTTCTTGAAAGGTAATTAGATGTCCCTGTCTGTTTCCTCTCTGCTGTTTTTGGCTCTTCTCCACACTCGCATGTTGTGGATTCCACTTTGTAGCCCCATTTCTTGAGGTTGGCTCTGCATCTCGTGGTGCCAGAGCGCAGTCTGTTCAGCGCCTTCCAGGTCGCCCAGTCCTCTGTGTGCTCAGGGGGGAGTCTCTCATTTGGTATCAGCCATTGGTTGAGGTGCTGGGTTTGAGCCTGCCACTTTTGGACTCTCGCTTGCTGAGGTGTTCCAGCGAGTGTCTCTGTAGATCTTAGAAAACTATTTCTAGATTTAAGTCGTTGGCGTGCTGGCTGATACCCAAACAGCGGATGAGCTGGAGATGTCTCTGCCTTGGTCCTTTCACTATTGGCTGCTACTTCCCGGCGGATGTCAGGTGGTGCAATACCGGCTAAGCAGTGTAATTTCTCCAGTGGTGTAGGGCGCAGACACCCTGTGATAGCGTCATGTCTCATTAAGAGCCACATCCAATGTTTTAGTGTGGTGAGATGTGTTCCACACTGGGCATGTACTCAGCAGCAGAGTAGCACAGCGCAAGGGCAGATGTCTTCACTGTATCTGGTTGTGATCCCCAGGTTGTGCCAGTCAGCTTTCGTATGATGTTGTTTCTAGCACCCACTTTTTGCTTGATGTTCAGGCAGTGCTTCTTGTAGGTAAGAGCACGGTCCAGAGTGACTCCCAGGTATTTGGGTGCGCTGCAATGCTCCAGTGGGATTCCTTCCCAGGTTATCAGAGCTCGGGATGCTTCTCTGTTCTTGAGATGAAAGGCACATGTCTGTGTTTTAGATGGGTTTGGGGATCAGCTGGTTTTCCCTGTAATAGGCAGTAAGAGCACCTAGAGCTTCGGAAAGCTTCTGTTCTACCATCTCAAAGCTCCCTGCTTGAGCAGTAATGGCACGATCATCAGCATAGATGAAACTTTCTGTCCCTTCTGGTAGTGGCTTATCCCCATGCTAAGTCTATGAGACGCAAAAAATTAAGAGTCCCTCCAGAACTGCAAGCACAATCTCAAGCAAATATTGACAATTTATTCACACTGTCATTACTTGCAGCAATAGCCGATGTAGCGAAGCAACCAAGTTGGGGGGAGGTGTTGAATGCTCTCATTAAGGAGGCCAGACTTGGTGGAGGTGGTTGACAGGGGTGGAGCTGCAGGCTATTGAAGGCTGCTCTGCCCCTCCTGTGCTCTTTGCTTCAGCGTGAGCTAAGAGGCAGGTTTCAACTCCCCCCCTCAAATTTTAACCCCCCCCCTGAAATTTTCAAACCCTCCCCCCCTGAAATTTTCAACCCCCCCCCCGAAATTTTAAACCCTCCCCGAAATTTTTTTCTGGCTACGGCCCTGGGCCCTACACCCCAAACTCCAGCAAAGGGATGGTTGACTGCATGCAATGAAGTAAGCATTTAATAATTATAACATTTTGTTTTGAAACTAGAGTTAGATTCAGTACATTTCTGCCCCTTCCGATTCCACAGTTGTGATTGTAAGGTGTGTATGTGTTTACATGTGGTTTAGGCAAAACTGTCCAAGAGAATAGGAGGAAGGATTTCTATAGGAAAACTCCTGACAACCAGATATTATGTATCTTTCTCATCACCATCAGGTCTCAGCGTAGTCCTTCCATCTCAGGAGCTGAGTCTATCTCACGTGCTCTGGCTTTAGTATATAATTGTGATATTGCACCTCTCCTTGTATTACAGAATCCAGCTGGAGGGACAAAGTTCTTCATTGGGCCAGGGGAAATTCCTGACCTGCCTTAAGCAAGCGGTGGTAAAACCTTTATTAAAGAAGACCTCCCTTGACCAAACTGTGTGTAACAACTACAGACCAATTTCCAACCTCCCTTTTCTGGGCAAGGTTCTGGAGCGGGTGGTTGCCTTGCAGCTCCAGGGATTCTTCATTCGCAGTCTGGCTTTCGGCCTGGGCACAGTACCGAGATAGCGTTGGTCGCCTTGGTGGATGACCTCCGCAGGGAACTGGACAGGGAGAGTGTGACCCTGCTCATCCTCTTGGACATCTCAGCGGCTTTTGATACTATCGACCATGGTATCCTTCTGGGAAGACTTGCTGGGATGGGACTTGGGGGCATGGTTTTGCTGTGGCCTCGGTCCTTCCTGGAGGGTCGTTCCCAGTTGGTGAAGCTGGGAGACTCCTACTCAGACCCCTGGCCATTGACCTGTGGGGTTCTGCAAGGTTCTATATTGTTCCCC